TGTTGTAACGGTGTCTGTCTAATGTATACGATGTTCAAGTTAGGCAGTTAATGACAATAGTTCAATAATTTGCTGATCGTTTTAGCTATTTATTAGTGGAAATTTCTCCTTTTGGTCTTGCGCTACGAAGAATAAAAGCGGAATAAAATATGCCGTGTCAGTATACACGTATATTTATCTAAACCAAACTGGCCATAGATTAAAGTAGAAGGCTATACATGGCTGCAATTTGACAGCGAGGCTCGAAAGTCCTATAAGCCTTACTATCCATGCCGCGTACACTCTTTCTTCATAAGAATACACTGTGCTATTTTTCCGGCCGAGGTCGAATATTCTTATTTTTCTGCCGATTTTAGGCTGTTTATATTCTATTGAACATTCTTAGATTTCATTGTGTTTACAAATTTTTAACATAAAATTGTGTTCTTTTCAAAATCTCAGCCTCGGATTTACTCTGAAAATTTCGCAAATTTGAGCCTCGTTATTTTTATAAAACTTATTCTTATCAAAAGAGAGAGATTGTATTAAAGTTCCCTCCTCTAGGGTGTGAAGAAAACAAATTTTCCGGCTCGGTTTTTTTTAAACTCTGAATAAGGAGATACAAGGGTACAGACTTATTTTCTTGTCGTTTTTGCCTATAACTCAGTAAGAGGGAAAAAATCATTTACAAACTTCTGAGTAATTCAACGGTTACACTTTATTGATACAAGCCAGAGAGAGATCAGAAACAGACTCTCGGACAAAGCATTGTAAAACATTGCTTAGTTTACATGCAAATAGAGAAAGCAATACTAGTGGAAACAAAATCAGAGTCCTTCAAGTCCCTCAATTCCTCAACGTCCTTTATTACATTACAATGTACCCTCCAGTGTGTCTCATGTCTGTATTCCGTTGGGGATCCAGCGTGGCAACAGATAAGGGTAGGTCAGATGATCTTTTTTTAACCTATCAATGTTCCTCATTTCTATGTACGGCTGGACTCTCCTTTGAAGGAAGTTAAACCACTTGGATATCACTTCTCGTCCAGGTTTATGGGGCAACTGGCTTCCGTAGTCGAACAGACTGTCAAAACGGTAATTGGAGAGTGAAAAAGCAACCGTGGCTTGTTGCTATGACAGAAAAAAAAGCAACACAAACTTAGGCAATGAACTGAAATAATTCCTAAAACTACAATCGGGAACACCTTTCCGTCAGCGCGGACGGCTGGTGCAGAAGTAAGTGGAGACTGAGACGATAAGATTCTTCCCTCTTGTCATCAGAACTACTCGATACATGATTTTATTTTGACAACCGCGTGACAAAAAGAAAGGAGAGCACTGGGAACGAGAATGAGGCAGGAGGATCGGCGAGCCCGGAGAGTTTCCGCAACCTTCTTGTCCTTTCAGAACTTTTGCGAAGGCTCGCGAATACGTTTAGAAAACTTTCCATCTAACAATTAGATTATGTGTCCAAGGTTTCTATTAAGCAATTAGATTAAGAGCTCTCGATTGCTATTTAAACAATAGAGTGTTTCTGTCGAGGAACTATCGGCTGATAGTTGCCCTGTGGAAATTTGATGCTCTTAAAACAAATATTTATATTTAATGGGCTGATAGTGTCTCTCCTCGAACGAACACTATCGCACCACGTGATCAATTTAAACCAATAAAAATCGGAGAAAATTTACTTTTGTTTTAAGAACATCAAATTTCCGCGGGGCAACTATCAGCCGATACTTCCTCGACTGAAACACTCTATTGTTTAAATAAATAGTGAGTAGCGTAGCCAATCAGAGAACGCCATTCGTGATAGAACGCTAGTAGATTTGTACTAATGCGTGATAGCAAGAGACGATGATCCGAGTAGGTGCAGCCTGAATCAGCTATCACCCGTAGAAATTGAAATTCCATTCAACCAAAAATCAACCATTCCAAGCTCATTCCATCTAAGTGTCAGAGTGACTTCCTGCATGCGGACCGTCAGTGTAAAACTCAGACTGCGGACTGCAGCTGTAGACTGCAGATTGCGGACCAGGGGTAAAATCCAGACTGCAGAGTACAGACTTTTTAAGTATATATAGTGGTATTTCCATTGTCGAATGCTAACCGTAAACAGGGTTATTAATTAAGGCTAATCGCAGTGAAAGTCTGTACTCCGGTTAGCCTGAATATCACTCAGGTTAGTAAGAATATCACTTCGGTTAGCTTAAATATCACTCAGCTTAGACAGAATATCAATTCTACATATACCTGTTTACGGTTAGCTCTGAATGATGGAAATGGTAACACGATTTAGTTAAAAAAAGTCTAGTCTGCAGTCTTCATTTTACCCTCAGTCTGCATTTTACTGCCGGTCTGCGGTCTACAGTCCGCAGTCTGCAGTCTGCAGTCTGTAGTCCGCAGTCTGCAGTCTGCGGTCTGTAGTCTGCAGTCTGTAGTATGCAGTCTGTAGTCTGCAGTCCGCAGTCTATGTCTTACACTGACCAATATGCAGATACTGTTTAGAACACTTACTGCAGAAATGTTCGCGTTCGGATAGTGGAACAAGGAGAACTTATCATCAGAGACTCGTGAATCTCGATAGAGCTTGGTGGGCATGTTAAGCGTGAAGGCTCCGTAATCTGTTAAAGGATAGTTGATGGCTGCATGGTGAGCACTGACGTGCCACAAGAACCTTGTAAGGAATATCACCAGACTGTTTATTGAAGTTAGTTCTCGGGGAAGCTCTTTGATCTGCAAGAACAAGAGATTGGGTTGACTGAATATATGTCTGCGGACACTGCACACGTTCAATGCTTCTCTCGCTCGAGAGATGAGTGACAATGGACCCAAAAAACTCCATACCGAGATCCGGGTAATGTAAATGTAAATAATAAAGAAAAAACAGAAAGGAATTCTGGTAGTCAAGTGACGATAACGTGCAAATCTGCCATAGAGAGCTTAGGCAAACCACGACGGTAACCTCAGCGAGAACGTCACCAAACGAAAAGTTTTGATGAGCAATACAATGGTTGTTCACGTGCGTCATAAATTTTTGTACATTTCTTTGCCCTCCATGTCTGCACAACAACGATGTGAAATGACTGTTCTGCGTACTTTGGAGAACGCGAATGACGGCCGCTAATTCTTCCCTATTTTAAATTGGATTTGAAAGCTGTCGTGACATGTTTAGCTTGAGCAAGTTCTGAGACTAATAGGCGCACTGAACAGATCTAGACAACTGGCGAAATTCGAAGGTAAAATATAAATTCATTTTTTACTAGGCGTTGTCTTCGGGGTCGCCGTCGCCATTACTTAAGGTGGCTCGATCAGATTTTTGAGTGACGATACCGTTCAACTTCGAGCGACTAGAGCACCACCATTATCAATCAAGTGGTTTTATTTCCCACCCAATTTAATCATTTCAGGGGCAATTTTTGATAAAAAGCAAAATAACACCCCACACCAGTTGGTATTCTAGCCAGTGTTTCTGAAAGTCAAACGGAGCGATTTCTTTGAGATTTCCAGTTCTACTTCAGGTATCTAGATGTTATAAGATTCATTTGAGACCAGAATAGCATTTAGTCAAGTCTTGTGGACATCGTTTGCAATGACATTTAAAACAGCTTCGTTTTTGTTGTATTTTGACACCTTGAAACTTCACTCGTAACTTTCTCGAAAACGCTCTTATAGATTTTTTTTTAATTTTGCCATCGTTAAGACAACAATGTCAAGTCCGAGATCCATACGTCATATTTCCAAAATTACCCTTGATAGTAAGTTATTCGGTCTTATGTAAAATGCGTATGCGTCATCTCGTTGCTATGGTAACTCAGACCTCCGTAAGACTTACCTAATTTGAAACTTTCATCTTTCTCTAGCGCACCAGTAACGTTTGATTTTCTATTGGATTGATAATGGCGATGTTCTAGTCTCTCAAAGTTGAACGGTATCGTTACTCAAAAATCCGATGGAGCCACCTTAAGCCCCCTATTAATAATTATGATGGCTCAAACTTACGTTTCCCAGTCCTCCTTCGCTTCCTTCCCCATCTGCGGAAACTTCGTTCATAAAGTTTTGAAGCTCAAAGTCATTTGCTACATCTTCATCACAATCGTAATACCTTGAGGAAAAAAAATAAGGAAGGGGAACGGATCCTTTTTCATTAATTTGATAAACATTCATTTTCTCTCTACAATATCGATAGCAGGTAATGATAATATGAGAGATCATCAACTTGGGGAT